TATTCCCTTCCCCATTTATTCTGAAGTTATTAGAAGTTGACATCATGTCATATCTACCCCTACATTCTTCAGTATGCACCTTATAATATGCACATTCTCCTACAAAACTATAAAGCCATGTCACACCCAACAATATACATGATAATTTTTTGGTGACATCTACTACTCATTGTGTATTCAAATTTCCCTGATCGTCTCAGAGTTGTCTTTTCATAGTTGGTTTATTTGGTTATTGAGTCTCCTAACTCTCTTAACTAGAATATTCTCCCTCTTTTTTCAAGTCATTCACTTGTTGAAGAAACTAAGCTACTTGGACAATAGAATATTCCACTTTCTGGGTTTGGCTGATTGTTGTTACTTAACTTTTTTCTCTATTTCCCCAAATTTATTAGAACTTGGAAGTTAGATCTAGAAGCTTGATTGGATCCCAATTTAACTTTTTTGGCAAGAATTGTGCTTTCCTTGTTACTGTGTACTTCAGGTTGTGCCACCTCAGGAGGCACCTATGGTCTGGTTACCCCACTTTTAGTGATGCTACAATTGAATAGTAGCTTCTGGGAATAACATCTTGATCCCTCAGTTGTGAAGTTCCCCCCATCAGTTTTTTTTTTTTTAAAGCTGATGATTTTGTCCACTAATAATCATTGCCTGAATACATTATTTCAGTAGAGATTATAAAAATGGTGATTTCCTCCCCCCGCCAATCCTATCATTCCTGCTACATTTATCAGCTGGGATTCTTTTATAAAGAATTTTTGTCATCAACCAACAACCCATTTGATGACTCTGAAATATAGTTCATACAGGAAAGGTAGGGTAAGTGCTTAATATTTCCCTTATAATTGACAATTTCAGAGTTGGTGCTTCAGTTTCTTTCAAAGTTAAATTATGTTTCTTTACTTTTTTAAGGAGAGAGTCCCTTTTTTCTTGAGAATCACTGTAAATTTATGGATTTTAAAATATTTGTCTTTTAATTAATTGCAGTGTTTTACATGGGGTTTTATTTATTTATTTATTTTTCGATGCTGAGATAAAACCTTCTTTGTTCATTGGGAGCCCCTTCGAGTTGGCTCCTGTGTATCCGTCTAGGAAAGAGAACCTATCACATGTGAATCACAGTGAATTTGCACATACTGAACACACTCATATAATCAGTACCAGATCAAGATACAGAACATCTCCAAAGGACATCCCTGTCCTACCAATTTTCTTGACCCTGCTGCTTTTTGATACGACAGGTTGCCCCAAACTCCTCTCGCGCATTTCATAACCCAGTCTAAGAATCAGCTATTCCAAGGAGCCCTGGTTTCTTTTCATAGGAAGCAGAATTTAGAAACTACAGTCTGAACATTGGGGGTACTCGTTCCCATGGGTTGTC